ACTGCACTGTCATGAAGATCTCTAATTAATACTGCAATGTTGAGCTTCTCTAATTAATACTGCAATGTTGAGCTACAAAGCATCTTCAGCTAGTTCATCCCAACAGAACGTGCCTGCTAGAATCTGAGTCCATTGTGGCCACACACTACAAGCAAAAAAACCTACCTATTTCTCATCCTGCTTCTCATGAAACAATGGAAGAGCTGGAGCAATATAAGTGCTATCATATCATTAAATTTTCATCAGGTGATTCTAATCTAATTCTAATGAAGTTCCTATTATTAGCCTGAAGTGGCTCAGAGGCTGGAAGCACAAGACACTAACAGGAATAAATTATAAGTTTAAATTCGGTCTCTGTAATAAAATGTCTTCAAACCAAAGAAGTGAGAAGGGAAAAGCAACTTTCTAAGTCAGTTGTGATCCTTCTGAACATGTTTCTTCTCAGAAGTCTAAAGCAATAGCTCAAGCTTATGATCTTGTCTGTATTATTCCAACAGGACAGAAACCATGATCAACAAGTAAATACACAACATTTTTCTGGTCTGTTAAATTAACTATTTTTGTACCACTACCCAGAAGCAGGTATACTTGGCACATAGTTTGCTTACAGCTATAAAAACAATTTGTTCCTATTAAGAAAACCCTCAGACATTCAACATTGATTTTGACCTTTGAGATCATATGTTTTCAGTTCACGCTATTTCTGAAAGCATGACTAGGAACACAGAAAACCTTCCAATTTTTAGTCTGCTTCTAGTTCTCATTTTTCTTTAAGTGTATTAGCATAGCTCAGCTTAAAAGCTATGTAACATAACCACTACATCAGCCTTACAGGACATCCTCAAGTTTTACCTACATTTTACTTCTGATTAGAATACCTCAGAGGCAGTTAGACATCCACAGGAATAATTAGGCTAATAAAATGATTCAGAAATTGTTAATCGTAAAGACAAAGGATTAATGGAGACAGCTAATTAATCATACTGGGGTTTCACCAAACTGTTGAGTAAAGTCACATACTTAGTCAAATACCTAGGGGCAAAGGACTGGAAATATTAACTCCACCAACGCCACAAACTTAGTATTTCAGCTAATGAACAAACAACACTGTTCAAACCTTTCACTGAGCTTCTCCTGGGAGCAAGGTGCAGGACTGTCACAAACAGCAACCCTGGAAAACTGCACCTGAGAATTGTTCAGAGGGGCTCTAAAACCCCACCACCTTCATCAGCACTGTCAGCATCTCACCACTGCCATGGAAACTTTCTCCAGAACAGTGACCAGTCAACTGAAGTCTACCTAAATGCCAGGAAGCGTGCACACTTCTCCACGAAGATTAAGCTTCTTTCCCTTTACTGCCACCCCCCAACTATCTATTCTCTCCTGAAAGACAACCAACTCTCATAAAGTAACTCTGACTTGACAGCAGCTTCAGGAAAAAATAGGTTGCTCCTGCACTGTCAGATACCACGTGATTGCTTGTTTCTCCCTGTGTACTCTCCCTGGTTTTTCTCATTACTATGTCTTCTGTCCCAGGGCAGGTGTTTTTTTTTTTTCCCCTGCACATCTTTTTAGCCTAGCACTCCTAGTCCCCCAGGCACATGTTAAATACCACAGCATGGTCTCCAGCCAGCACTGTGCAGGAGGAAGCAGGTGGCAGAGAGAAGGAAGAGCTGCATGGCCACCACACTGCCCTAGGGTAGGCAAGGGCGGAGGAGCACAGCAGCCAAACCCCGCAAAAGAAGGCAAGAGAGAACCATTCAACAAGTACTGGTTGCTTCAATTACAGAGTTGGTCTCGCAACCACACAGAACCTAGTGCGGTGCATATCGAGACTGACATCAGAAAGAAAAAGAAAAGTTTTTAAGTAAATTCTTCTCTCAGTGATTTCATACCAGCTTTGCTTCATTCTGCCACTGCTGACTGATAATGTTATTACACCCACAAGCTTCAACCGTGCAACCCTTACGCATACCCAAAGACCTTCGAACTTAGCAAGAAACAGTGAAATCTAGCAGAGCTGCCAGGATTTCATCCTACCAGCAAGGCTGTGCTGCAAAAGGCAGAAATAAGTAAAAATCCACTCATTCAAAAAAGCTAATTATTTATTTACACAGGGTAAGCAGTACCAACTTCTGGCAAGTGTGATTTTCTTCAGGGGAAAAAAAAAAAATTAAAAACCTCGCTTTTAATTTTGGGCACCAGTAAATTTCCTAGTGATGTATTT